TCGCTTCTTTGTCCAAGTCTTCAAAGCTGAACAGTTTAATTCCAAGATATTTTATTTTCATTACTTGTTCAATACTGATGCCATAAATTTCTTTTTTACTTCTGGTTGATTCTTCGCTTACTGAAACTAGCCTTAAAATAATTCAAGCTTATGCACCTACATCTACAAACTCCGACGAGGAAGTGGAAACCTTTTATGAAGACCTACAAAATGTAGTAAAACTGGCGCCTACTACAAAAGACCTAGTAATGGGTGACTTTAATGCTAAATTGGAATGTAAACTGGACGAGACCAAAGTTGCAATAGGTCCCTACGGATTCGGACAAAGAACTGAAAGAGGCGAAATCTTTTTGGGTTTCTTGGTACGAAATGCAATGAATAGCTTTTTCAAAAAAGTCCCCAAAGAAAGTAGACCTGAACAAGCCCAGATGGAGTCCCAAAAATGAAATTGATTTTGTCTTAACCAACAACAAAGACATGGTCCATGATGTAACAGTTCTTAATAGCTGTTTAGAGGGAAGTGATCATAGAATGGTAAGAGCAAAGATTGTGCTAAATCTCCAAAAACAAAGATACAAAATGATAACAAAAACAAACCCAAACAAAGATACAAAATGATAACAAAAACAAACCCAATAGGATGGAATCCAATCGAAAACACTATGTCCTTTCAAGAGGAAATTCTGAGATGTCTAGAGACAACAAATATAGACGTTATGGATGTCGAAACCTTAAATGATAACTTAATAAAAGCTATTAAGAACGCAGAGAAAAAGAGCAAAACAAATCCTAGGAGAGATAAGGAAGAAAAATCAGTCAAGAGACAAAAAGACTTATGGAGACACGAAGATATTAAGAAAGCAGTGAGAAAGGAGGTACGACAACATAACACAAAAAGATTACAACGGTTGTTGAGGAAAATAAAAGTTTAAAGGTGCTGAAGAGATGTCAAGCTCTGGGTAAGAGGAATATTGTTAAACTCGTAGATAGAAATGGAAAAGTAGTAACAGATAAAGATAACAATCGAAGAAGTCTCAAAGTCATTGAATCGAATGAAAAACAATAAAGCAGCTGGTGATGACTAAATCATCATTAAGGCAGTTAAAGCAGGATGAAAGACAGTATTGAAAGCATTGACACAATTATATAACTTATGCATTTCAAAAGAGGTTACACCATCTCAGTGGAATAAAGCTGTTATAGTAGTCATGCACAAAAAGGGAGATATAACAGCTAAAAAACTATAGACCTATTACCTTGTTATCTCACGTTTATAAGTTGTTTATGAAGATAATAACTAATAGGTTGACATCAAAACTAGACTTCTATCAACCTTGCAAGCAAGCAGGATTTAGAGCTGGATACGGAACAAATAATCATTTGTAAACCATTAAGCCGTTGATTGAAAAAACCATTGAATATAATATAACCCTGATACTTGTCTTTGACGACTTTGAAAAAGCATTTAATACGGTCAATCAAAGTGAAATGCTCCAAGCTCTAACACAATGTAGAATAGATCACCGATACATATCCCTCATCAGATACATCTATCAGCATGCTACAGCCTGTGTAAGACTTAATGAAGACACTGGGACCTTTCGTATTGAAACAGGTGTTCGGCAAGGAGACAACATGTCTCCTAAATCATTTACAACTTTGCTAGAATACGCTTGTAAAACAATAGATTGGAACGAAAAGGGCATCAATGTAGATGGAAAATTTTTAAATAACCTTAAATTTCCAGATGATATCGTTCTTATTGCAAACAGCTTTGATCAGGCACAGATTTTGCTCCAAAACTCCATACTGCCATAAAAAGACTTAAACTAAATTTTCCAAAAACACAATTTATGACAAATTTAGTCCACAACATATTCTCATTGAACGTGACGATATTATAAGATGGAAACAATATAGCACATTTTATTAAATTATATTTAATTTTTATTGTAATTAGAAAAACAACAAAATATATATTGAAAGTGGATTGAAAAAAATTATTATTTAAACATAAATAAAGTTAGGTTAGAATCGAAGTGTGAGGTTGTCCGATACTCATTACTGAATTACTGAAAGGCTGAGATATTCAACCAAAAAAGAAGATGCATTTTGATGACTTTTCTAGTAACTTTCTTGGGTATGAATTCGTATTTTTATTACATTTTTATTACATAAACGAATACATATTCGTTTTCCTCAACACAACCTTAGTAAGATTTAGCTAACGAATTGAAGGAAGCAGGCAGGGCAGTGATATTTATAATTAATTCAAAATTATATAATTAAAACCTAAAATGCCAAGACAATAGCTTTCAAATCATATTCATTGTATAGTTTTATATATTATATTTATCGTGCAATATAGTACATCACTCATCTCTAACCCGATGACACTGCAGTCAATATAAAAACATATTATTCCAATGCAATCGTCTGATGTCTATTATAAAAGTTGGCGAAGGTTTATGTCTAATAATTGGCGGGAGCACCAACTACCTATAAATTTCATAAAAGCCTCCACGCCGAAGGATCTTATTTTATAGCCACTTGATTTAATGCAGAAGAATTTAATTTATATTGCAGATAAAACCTGGACAAGATCTTTATTACTTCTTGCAATTTGTGTGGCCCAAGTTTTGCAACAGGAAAAATAAAATTTAGGAAATGAATTCAATTTCGTCGCTCCTTAAGAAGTTCAAAGGAATATTAATACGACAGTTTTATGGGATGGGTCGATAGAGCCAGGATTAGAGTCTTAGAATTATGATGAAATATTTTTAAATTTCTGAATTTACGAAAATTTTACTTTTATGAAAAACTCATTAATTCCTTTTTCTAAACGTTAAGATCAATAAATAATTTATCGAGATATCAGCGAAAGACTTTACTACTACTTTTTATTAAATATTAATAACTTTTGCAATATTTAAGACATTAAAACAAACATATCAATAAAACCACTAGTATTTTCTTCTTCTTTGTATGCCATGCTTGTTTCCATGCGTTGGCTATCATCATGTTAACGCTACATGAAACAATTCCTCGACCGATAATTCTGTCCAAAGTCTAATGTTCCTAGGATAATTATATTCTTTCAACTCAGTGTTTTCCTTCTGTTTTGTCCTGAATGATTGATGAACGAATAGTAAAATTTTAAACAACAATTAAAATGGTATGGACGTGTGATCCAAACGAAGAACGAGTCACGATTTGCGAAAAGCTGCGTGGAATTGGAAACCAGCCGAGATGAGAAAGGGAGGAAGGGTGAAAACCAGAAAACAGCTATGAAACTAACATCAAGAAGGTAATGACCGAGGAAAACTTATTTGACGAGATGTGCTTGGATCTAAGATGGTGAAAGAGAAGTCTAGAGCAGAGGTTACCAAAGAGGGTGAAGCGACACCCTTAGGTGACACAAGCATTTGCCAAGGGTGACGTGGAACATTTAAGAAACGACGAACATCTGGCAGCTGCGCCACTGTCCAATCGAAACATGTTGACCATGTCTTTCATTGTTGACAATGTTTTGCTCTCTTTTATTTGGAACATTTTTGTCATTGCAGAATAATGGAAAATTGTCTGAAATCTGGGTCTTTCAAAAGGAAATGTAGTGAAGTCACTGAAGTATCTGAATCAACTGATTCCGTGACAACTAGCAGATATGAAGAAGATGCAAATGTCCATGAGATCCATTTGAGTCCAGCTCATCCAAGTTGTTCTTACTCAATTCGTGAAAAGTATGTTCCTTACAAAAAAGAAATTTGGAGAAAAATAAGAAGATATGATCCTAGCTTTTCACGTTATATGGCTTTATTCGAAAACGCACCAGAAGACCAATGCGTTCGTCCTGGTTTAAATGAAAATGCTGAAGAAACCTTTAAACTCAATCTCTTCAGGGAGGGTCATGCATGATGGAAAGAGTCTGCAAAAATGAAAATGAAACCGCCACTGAAGCATCATTTATTATTGGTTTGCACAGTGCAAACGCCGGAAAACCTTATACCATTGCCGAGGAATTGATTAAACCTTGCGTGAAGGATGACAAACGATGCATGTTAGGTCCAGATATGACCAAGAACCAAGGACCATAAGCAAGAGAATTCACACTATTGCAGACTTTGTAGAGAGAGAGCTTATAAATAGATTAAAAGCTTGTGAATTCTTCAGTTTATAGCTTGATGAAAGTACTGACTTTGCTGGACTTACTGTTCTGCTTGTGTTTGTAAGGTTTACATTCGGGATGAAAATAGAAGAAGAACTTCATATGTGTGCAGAGCTTAAAAGTTATGCCACTGGTGAAGAAATTTTCAAGGCTATCCACGAGTATATAAGAAAAAATTATATAAGAGTGGAGTAAATGTGTGGATATTTGCAGTGATGGGGCGCCTGCAATGGTTGGTAAAATCAAAGGGGCGGTGTCTAGAATAAAGGTAGTGACAGAAAATGCCACCAACAGTTATTGTATCTTACATTGCCATTCTTTGGTAACTAAAAAGATGCGTAAGATTTAAAAGATGATTGAAGATCCAATACGATGGTTCAGTGAAAATAATTAACCATCCGCTAGAAGAAGAGCCATCCGCTTCAAGCATGCCTTTTAAAGCTCACCGCTGAAAATATGGGTGTGGATCACATCAATCTTTTGCTTCACACAGAGGACCGGTGGCTAACGAGGAGAACAATTTTAGGAAGACTATTTGAACTAAAAGATCCACTAATTATCACATTTACAAAGGAGTCTTTCATCGAAGAATTAAAAGATTCACGGCAAAGGAGGAGGACAATTAGATATAATCAAAGCCTTGCGTAAAAATGTTACATTTTTCAAAACATGTGTTGAAAAGAGGAACCTCACATATTTCTCTTGATTACAGGAATTTTTTATAACAAATGAAATGAACTCAAATGAACTTTTTTGAAATTTTCATTGCTCATTTGCAAGAAATATTGTAAACTATTTTCCTGACATTAACTCAGATGACTTATATAGCTGGATGATGGACCCGTTTTCGTGCGACCCAAAAAATAAACCCGTCGGAATGACAAATGAAGTTTTTCAAAATCTACTTAAGATCAGCGAAGCTAACAGTTTTAAACATAAATACCGTAAAGAAAGCCAAGAAGAGTTCTGGATGCAGGTATATTCAAAAAATAATGTTGTTGCCAGGGTTGCTGTGTTTCTCATCGACTTATCTCTGTGAGTCTTGTTTCTTCCCATATGCCTACATTAAAAACAAATACAGAAGCAAACTTCAAGCATCAAGGGATTTGATAGTCAAACTTACAAAGATTCCCATAATTATAAAGGATATAATGAAAACATCATCGAAATAGGTAAAAGAAATAATAAATAAGACTTACTCACAATCTCACAAGATAGTTAAATTAAATTGATTGTGAGTAAGTCTTATTTATTACTTCTTTTACCTATTTTAAATGGACTCACACAAGCAACACATTCATGATCATCGAAATAGTTTCATTCATCACTCATTCAAATATCCTTAAGTAAGGATATTTGAATATCAAATGTACTGTATTCTATTAATCTGTTTATATTAAAATCAAATGACCCTCAGAATTGAATTTTTTTCATTTTTTGTCGTTTCCCAAATCGCTTCAAGTGTTTAAAGCCGTACAAAAGTGCTGCGACTAAAAAAGGTTAAGAACCACTGTTCTAGAGAACAAAACATCAATAAGAGACTCTATAAAAATATATAATTTATGAAAATGACAAGAATTTTTTTTATTAACTCCATTGAGCACAACAATCTGCCCATTGAGCATTAAGCATTTGGTATGGTAAAAAATGCAGACATGTAGAAGGTTACTCCAGTGAGTAACCTCTTTACAATTCTGAAAATTAAAATTTTATTAGTTTGAAGACACTTATTACATTCAATTGGACAAGTCGGACGGCAATTGCCGTTTTAGTCTACGCACTTCAAAGACGTTCCGCACATTCAGTTGTCGAGCAAACGCATTAGGATGCACTAGCACTCGTTCAGAGTATTTAGCACTAAAACGTTGTATGGCTTCTTTCACGGATTCTAGGGGGATATCGTGTTGAATCACCTCGTTGGATACATAGTATGGCCAATTGACTATGGCACGCAGCACCTTGTTTTGGAATCTCTGTAAGATGTTTGTATTGGAGACGCTAGCAGTGCCCCATATATGAATCCCAGAAGTCCATATGGGCTTGAGGATGGACATGTAGAGTAAAATTTTGTTAAAAAAAAACACAGAAGTTAAAACACTTCACAAATGTGTATTTAGGTATAAAACAAACAAACAAGTTAAAACTTTTTAAAAAAGTGTCGTCACATTTAAAGTTCTGGCAGAACGTTTTCGATCACTACGGATCATCTTCAGTGCCTAGTATTTGTTGCTAACTATATAAATATGGTGTCTATAAGACTTCCATGTTTGAGTTGGTAAAGTGTCACATTTTACATTAGGTAATGTTGATACTGTAGGTCGATGACAATGGATGTATTTAAAATTTAAAATTTTTTACTTTAGGGACTACATGTCTCCTAAGCTCGAGTACTTGCACGTTGTCAGTTGAAGCGACGACACAGACCAAAAAAATGATCATCATCATTGAATGATAATTTAATACGAAGTTTAAGAACATTTATCTGACCGTAACTTATTGATTTATATTATTTCTTACCATTAAGTTAAATTGAACAGCAAACTTACCTGAAAAAAAGAAAAAGAAAATTAACAACTGAAAAGATGAGTGAGTAAAAAATACTTTCAAACTTTTTACAATTATTCAACAATAAAACAAATTAAATTATTTATAAAATATGTGCCTAAATATTATTAAACGGAATATTCAACACTTTTTTTTGATTTCTCTTACTAGTATAGGGAAATAAGTCACAGTCGTATATAAAATGTTTAGACAAAATAATTCTACACCGCGACCTATAAACCCGGAAAAAAATGTATTAATAACAATTATCGGTCATGAAATCCGTAACTAATATTTAAAAAATATGTAAAAATCAAAAGTGTATGCTAATAATCCTTTATACTTATTTCCAGAAGCGATTCTTGCATCAACAACGTCAAGCTTAGCCTGAACTGTACCAAAGACTACAACACCAATACCAACAACAGTCGTTCGTACCCCTACATCCACGCCCAGAGTGAACCCTGTCTTAAAAACAAGAACTGCGATCCTAGCATAAAAGGCAAGGTTTCCGGCAGTCAATACGGCAAAAACAACGATACTTGCAACCAAAATTACTCCGGTAAGAGAATTATTTGTATCAACTACAAAAAATGTAAGAATATTTTAGGGTATTATTCTTTTTTGATAATCAGAAAATTGCAAAATGTAAAAGGTTATGTTTTCGAATATAATATAAGCAAGAAAATTTTGCCGGCAATATTTTCGATTGGTATGAAAGTGCCTAAAGGCAACAAACTTGAATAAAACCAAAAGAAAATTTTGCGGTAAATAATATTCTCTTGAATGATATTCGACAAGACTATTTTACGAGACAATTAATACACCGTATCAACAAAACATAATCTTTATTTATTTGTTAACAATATTAAACGTACAATTATTATAAGCTATAGTAGTTTCATCAATCGTCAATCAAAAGACGTCAAAGAAAAACAAGAAATTAATGCAAACCTAGAATCCGCGCCGGAATCAATTGATGGTGATGTAGAACAACAAAGGCAATTCTTTAAAATTGCAATTATCGAACCAAGTCGCAGAGAACTCACAACAACCAGATGCAAGAAAGGAGATTGAATGACAGAAGAGATCGTGGAAATGATGGAGGACAGAAGAAGGCAAAAGAATATCAACATAACTCAGTATCAACAGCTGCATAATTAAATAAGAAGGAAAATAAGAGAAGCTAAAGACACTTTCGCTGGAAAATGCCAAGAAAAAGAAGACGTACAAAACAAATATGATAACTTCAATCTCCATAAGAAAGTTAAAAAATAAGCTGGGGTAACAAAACAAAAAACCTCAAGCATACTATTGGACAAATAAGGAAACATTTTAGTGGAGACGGAACAAAAATTAGGAAGATGGAAAGGATATACAGGAATTTTTCCATGACCAGAGACAGGAAAATATATATGAGGATAATCAAAGTAAAGACGAGAGACTTAAAATAACAAAGTCAGAAGTTATGCATGCAGTAAAGTCCATGAAAAATAATAAAGCTGCTAATGTCTATATAATAATATAAATTTGGTTTTAAATTTTTATAATACGTTCCTGTTTGTTTATCTCGTCAGTACGTATACAAATTGCCAAGAAATCTGTGTTTGTCTTTTACGAAAAAATTTAAAGTTCAGATTCGTAAATGCGTAATAACGCTGGAAATATTTTTTGTCTATGTTTACTTTCAAATCCCATAACCTTTTGTTACATTGTCCGGTCTAAAATTAGGGACGCTAGAATAATCAATAAATACGTGTAATATCTGCTATTTTAAAGTAAAATATTTCAAGTTTTTTTGACGAGATAGACAGAAAAAAAAGAGGTTTTGATGTCGTTTTAAAACGAATATCAAGGGGGATATTGTTTGTTTAGGTTTTGTAGAAAGAGGTTCTTAGAAAAGAAATTGCAAGTCAGGTATTTAATTTTAATACGTCGCAAATGGAATCTTCTACGTTGTTTCGTTGTGTTTTGTTATGTCAGGTTTGGTTTGTTTTCAAGTTATATGAACGAATTTTTAAGTTCGTCATTTATGCTTGGATCTTCGAGCAGTTTGCTGTGTGGATTGCAAGTATGGATCCGCAAATTCTCCGTTGAATTTGTGTTCTTCTGTTTTTTTTTTTTGACCCCTTTATCTAGCAGTAAAAAAATAATTTGTGTGGTGTACCAAAGCATGGTATAATTTTGAAGCCATATATAGGATGTACCACAGCTTTGTTGTCGTTTTTCTTGTTTGATCCAGCCCATCTACGTCAGATCGGCGTTCCAAATTATGGAGATGGTCTTCTTTTATTCCTGAGTATGGAAATGGTTCCCCTTGTTTCAGAGTTTCGTCCTTGCAGCTCCAGTCTCAGAGATCTAGCAAGTTTCGGAGTTATGTGCGTGTTTATGAGTGAAATTCAGGTATTATACTCATAAACACATTATGAGTAATAAAATGAAACTTTTATTATTTGTTTAATTTTCAAAAGTAAAGACAGACATTTTTTTGCTAAAATAATAATTGCTTTCATTGTTTTAAAAGATAATTTCTTTATTTGTAATACTTTTATATTTGCCATAGTTTATACGTCAGTAACATTAGTAAGTTTTCGTTGCATCTCCTGAATTTGTAAATTGGTAAAACGCATGTAAGTTTTTTGTATTTTGCGACTATCGTGGTAATATTTTTGTATTTTTTTTTGAATATTCTTGGTTCTATATGTTTTGTAACTGTTTGTGGTATGACACAAAAATAAATGTTAAATTTTGTTTTCTTAATATTTTATTTTTTTTTTTTTTTTTGAACTAACCCTCTTTTGAGTTTTATTTGAAGAAGATATATTTTGATGTTTTATAATTATTTCCCTAGTTACAACTAGTGGTTATAATAGGCATGATTAGGCACCTCAAGTGGCGCCCTATATTAAATACCTTGAGGTGTTTCCTGTTTATTTTGATTTCGTTTGTCCCAAGAGATTAATGACCCCTTTATTTCATTTTTTGTAGTTGCCCCAATCCAACCCCCTTATCTTTTACTTATCCACGACTCCAGCTCTCCTACCAAACCCTGAGTGCCGTTCGCACAAGTAGCGATTATTTTGCTTGCCCTCTCTATACCTCCATAATCTTACCCCATGTGGTACGCAAAATATATTCGTTACACCTTAAAAACCCTGCTAAAAATCATCCAAAATAGAATACACGCTAAGCTGAAGATGGATATTAGTGATTCCCAGTTTAGATTTCGGAATGAAATGGGCACAAGAGAGGCACTATTTTCTTTTAACTTGCTGACCCAAAGATGTTTGAATGTTAATCAAGATCTCTATGTATGCTTTATAAACTACAACAAGGCATTCGAGAAGGTAAAATATGACCGACTTATAGAAGTACTCAAAAACAAGAATCTGCATGTGAGGGATGTAACATTGATATCAAATTTATACTACAGCCAACCATCATGGAAGAGAACTATCAGAAGTGGATATGTGGAGAGGAGTCAGGCAAGGTTGTATACTGTCGCCTTTATTGTTTAATGCTTATTCTGAAGAAATCATACAAGAAGCTTTGGTAAACGAGACAGTCGGCATAAAAGTGAATGGAAGTTTAATTAACAACATTGGGTATGAAGACGATGCAGTCATAACAGCCGACAACTTGGAAGATTTAGAAAGAATAATGAACAACATATTAAGGTATAGTGGAGAATATGGACTCTCTATTAACAACAAACCAAATTCATGAAAATTAGCAAGAACAGCAATACAAACGAAATATTAACGGTAGGCGGCCAGCAGATTGAGAGAGTAAAAAAATATACTTATTTAGGAACGATAATCACAGAAAAATAACGATTATACTGCAGAAATAAGAGTCAGAATTGAAAAAGCACGTGCCAACTTCATATATATATATATATATATATATATATATATATATATATATATATATATTATATATATATATATAAATATATATATATATATATATATATATATATATATATATATATATATATAACAAGCGAGTCTTTTACAGCTGGCGCCGCTTCTCGCATCCTAATTTCCAGCGTTTTCTGTCGAAGCAATCTTCAGTTGTTAGATCTCTGGCGGTCATTGCATCGTCGACATCGTCTCTCCAGGATCGTCTTGGTCTACCTCGTTTTCTTCTAGTTGGCGGAGTACATTCTTCTATTTTTTTTTTTGGCCATCTGTTTTCTGGCATTCTCTGAAGGTGTCCATACCAGTTAAGTCTTTTGGCTTCGATTGTGTCTATTATGTCTAGATCGATTTCCATTTCTCTCCGAATATCTTCATATCTCACCCTATCAAGTCTAGTGAGCTAGCAACATCGTCTCCAGTAGTTCATTTCCATGGCCTTAATTTTTGATTTGTTTCTTTCAGTCCAATACTTTCTATTATTGTTTTATAAATTCTTCTTTTATTTTCTTTTGTTATTTTTTTATTCCATAATAGTCCGTGTAGCTGTCTGGTGGCTGATCTTGCTTGGCCAATCCTGGAATGTATTTCTTCGCTACTTCCTGCTGTTGATGTTATTTGGACTCCCAAGTACTTAAAATTGTCTGTTGGTTTTATAGTTCCCATTTCGATTTGTAGGCTTTCTGGTTTTTCTCCTACAACTAAGTATACTCAGTTTTTTGTATATTAATTGTGAGGCCCCATTTGGTGTACTCATCTTTCAGTTTTCTAAGCATGTAGCTTATATCACTGTCGTCTTCAGCTAGAATGGCTTGGTCGTCAGCGAAGTGTATCGTGTACAATCTATCATCTCCGATTGGGATGCCCATATTGCAGCACTTTCTTCTCCACAGTTAGAGTGCCTCATTTAGATATATTTTGAAGAGTGTAGGTGCTATGCAGCAGCCTTGCTTTAGACCCTTACTAATAGGAATTTCTCTAGTTAATCTATTTCCAGTTTTAATGTTTACCGTCATATTTCTGTAGAGCTGTTGTACTGCTTGTATATTTTTTTTTGCTTATTCCTTGTTTTTCCATTGCTGCCCAAAGCATTGAAAGTGGTACACTATCGTATGCCTTTGTCAGATCTATAAAGACTATATGAGTTGTAAGGTTGTGGGCTAATCTTTTCTCGATAACTTGCTTTAGAGAGAATATACTGTCCATGCAGGATCTGCCTGCACGAAAGCCATTCTGTTCTTCTACATCTGTCATCTCTTTTTCAATTTTATTTTTTATTATTTTTCCATACAGTATTGAGAGTGAATTTATGACACTTAGCCCCCTGTAGTTTGAACAATTCTTTCTATCTCCTTTTTTGTATATGTTGTTAATATGTGCTTTAGTCCACTCCGGTGGTAAGTAGTGTCCATTATAGAATAATATGAAAACATACGCCAGTAATTCCCATAATACTTGTGGGCTATGTTTTAATAATTCATTTGGTATACCTTGTGGTCTGCATGACTTCCGATTTTTTAGAGTTCGTATTGCATTCTCGACTTCCTGTACTGTTATTTCATCGTCTTCACTGAATTCCAGTTCATATGTTGTTGTACTGATGTTCGTAAATTGAGGTCTTGTTTCAGTCAAAAGTTGTGAGTAGTGTTCGATCCAAGATTTTTCTTCTATTAAATCTATTCTAATCGTTTCTTTTCTGTTTTGAAAAAGACTGTAAGACTTGTACACACTTCTAAATAGGTCTAACTGGTAAGCTGGTTTTGTATGTTTTCAATAAAATTGATAGTGTGTAAAATAGTTTAATAATTAAGCTAAGTATACTTTCGACATAATAAATGTCATCATCAGAGCTATCCTAAAATAACGTTAAGTTAAGTAAATTTTTATATAAAATACAATGATAGAAAAAACTTACGTCAATTAGGTAATAAATACTCCATAGAAGGACAATTGTGCACAAACGACATATTAAAATTCAAAGATCGGGCTCTGTAGGCCACAGATCTTGGGTCTAACCCTTATACATATGTATAATTCACATTTAAAAAGTTTTTATAAAAACATGGTTACCACATACAGTAACGACAACAGCTGTCTTTGACTTACATTTTTGAAGTAAAATGAAAATGAAATAGGAAGCTCGGATATACGGAAATAAATCCTAGAGCGACCTCTGTATTTAAATTATTAATTAAAAATTGAAAATGTCTAAAATGACGTCTGAAGGTTATTGATTATTAATTTTAGCTACTGTAGAATTTTAAATTTAAATATTTTAAATTGATTAGTTAACGTGAAGATTTAAATATACATTTATCAAAATTATCAAAAAACAAAACTTTAAAGTTTGACCAAATAGAAGAAAGTAGACGAAAACCAACCAAGGAGAAGTATCATTTGCTAAGTTAAGAGTTCAACAGCTATTCTTGATTATCGATATTATTAATAAAATAAATAATGAAGAAGAAAATATCAAACATTCTCTATGTAGATGAAATCAATGAAAGAAAGTATAAGAAATTCTCTCTTTTTAAAATCTCTTTTTTTAAAAATAAAGGTCAATGCTTGATCAAATGATGGTTAATTTTATACTAAGTGTATTATTAAAGAAACTTCTTAAAGATTGGATCAAACTTACAATTTAAATTAATTTGAGTGTTGACACAATTCTGAGGATTCCTTTTCATTTCTCTACTGATTTCAAGATCTTCTAGTAAATTCATTTTTATATAATTATTATTGGGTATACTGTGTAGGATCTTGCTACCTCTATGAGGACTAAAGCCATGCTTTGAAGCATGTATATGATTCCCAAAACTAGATTTATCAATCTTAGACAGATGTTCTTTGATGCGTATATCCAAAGGTCGCATTGTTCTACCCACATAGGTCACCGGGCATTCACCACAGGATAATTTATAAATACCACTTTTTGACGATTTGTTAATTTTGTCTTTAGTGTGGGAAAAAATAGATTTGATATTTTCTTTAACTTTGAAAGAAAGTTTTAGATTAGGGATGTTTTTTAAGATTCTAGCTATATTGTCTGAGGGATAACCTAAGTACGATATTGATCGATAAATAACTGTCGAGTTAGAAATGTTATGGACAGTGTTGTATGCTAGTGATTTCACTAGCATACAACACAACATTTGCTAGTGAGTAACATTTCTAACTCGACAGTTATTTATCGATCAATATCGTACTTAGGTTATCCCTCAGACAATATAGCTAGAATCTTAAAAAACATCCCTAATCTAAAACTTTCTTTCAAAGTTAAAGAAAATATCAAATCTATTTTTTCCCACACTAAAGACAAAATTAACAAATCGTCAAAAAGTGGTATTTATAAATTATCCTGTGGTGAATGCCCGGTGACCTATGTGGGTAGAACAATGCGACCTTTGGATATACGCATCAAAGAACATCTGTCTAAGATTGATAAATCTAGTTTTGGGAATCATATACATGCTTCAAAGCATGGCTTTAGTCCTCATAGAGATAGCAAGATCCTACACAGTATACCCAATAATAATTATATAAAAATGAATTTACTAGAAGATCTTGAAATCAGTAGAGAAATGAAAAGGAATCCTCAGAATTGTGTCAACACTCAAATTAATTTAAATTGTAAGTTTGATTAAATCTTTAAGAAGTTTCTTTAATAATACACTTAGTATAAAATTAACCATCATTTGATCAAGCATTGACCTTTATTTTTAAAAAAAAGAGATTTTAAAAAGAGAGAATTTCTTATACTTTCTTTCATTGATTTCATCTACATAGAGAATGTTTGATATTTTCTTCTTCATTATTTATTTTATTAATAATATCGATAATCAAGAATAGCTGTTGAACTCTTAACTTAGCAAATGATACTTCTCCTTGGTTGGTTTTCATCTACTTTCTTCTATTTGGTCAAACTTTAAAGTTTTGTTTTTTGATAATTTTGATAAATGTATATTTAAATCTTCACGTTAACTAATCAATTTAAAATATTTAAATTTAAAATTCTACAGTAGCTAAAATTAATAATCAATAACCTTCAGACGTCATTTTAGACATTTTCAATTTTTAATTAATAATTTAAATACAGAGGTCGCTCTAGGATTTATTTCCGTATATCCGAGCTTCCTATTTCATTTTCATTTTACTTCAAAAATGTAAGTCAAAGACAGCTGTTGTCGTTACTGTATGTGGTAACCATGTTTTTATAAAAACTTTTTAAATGTGAATTATACATATGTATAAGGGTTAGACCCAAGATCTGTGGCCTACAGAGCCCGATCTTTGAATTTTAATATGTCGTTTGTGCACAATTGTCCTTCTATGAAGTATTTATTACCTAATTGACGTAAGTTTTTTTCTATCATTGTATTTTATATAAAAAATTTACTTAACTTAACGTTATTTTAGGATAGCTCTGATGATGACATTTATTATGTCGAAAGTATACTTAGCTTAATTATTAAACTATTTTACACACTATCAATTTTATTGAAAACATACAAAACCAGCTTACCAGTTAGATCTTTTCTGTTTGTTCTCAGAATTTTTACCGTTTTCCATGCTTCTCTTGATCTTGTTGACCCTATATATTTGTTGAGTTCTTCGCATTTACTTTCCCAGCAAATATTTTTTGCTTTAGTTACTAAATTGTTTACTTCTCTGTTTGATCTTGCATATGTTCGTCTATCATCTGGATCATTTGTTTGCAGTCACTTTTGATATACTTGTTTCTTGTTGTGTACTGCATTGGCGATGTCATTTGTCCACCACAATGGAGTATTCTTTTTTTCTTTTGGATTGTGCCGAGCGCTTCGTAAGCTGCTTCATTGATGCCAACTTTGTGAAAATGAAAAAGATTTTATGCAGCAAAGATCTGATATTGGCCTTCAGAATAAGGCTAATTAAATGCTATGTAGAAATTGTACTCGTCAGTGTACTGCAGCTGAATCATGGGCATTAAACCGGAATATAATAAATCAACTTAACGCGTTTAAAATGTGGACATTTAGAAGATTGTTAAGGATTCCATGAGTAGATAGAGTTACGAATACAGAAGTGTTAAGGAGAATAGGCAGAGAGAGGATAATGAAAAATACAATAACAGAAAGGAAATTGCAATATCTCGGACATGTGATGAAAGGCGAAAGATACAACATCTTGAGACTCATAATTCAAGAAAAAATAGAGGGTAGGGAAAGCGTTGGAAGAAGACGGATTTCCTGGTTGAAGAACCTGAGAGAGTGGTTTGGTTGCAGCTCAAGGCAATTGTTCGGACAAGCTGTCTCGAAGGTTAGAATAGCCATGATAACTGCCAACCTTCGTCGCGGATATGGCACTTAAAGAAGAATGGTAGTTTGTCCATTGTTTTCTACCAAAGCATGATTTGGAGTATTATTGACCTGTAGCATTTGGGAACTCGAAGGTACAGCTTCATTTGTTGTTCTGAGATTTTCTATCAACATCTGGTGGTGACTGGAACCCAGCTGCAGATATGGTTTAAGAGAGCTTGCATTTGGATGATCCGTTAATTTAATTAACTCATGTTCAGAAACACATTGCTTGGACAAGGCTGTCACAGCTGAAGACAGATGAAAATCGTTTCTTATTTTAGTTGGAGAGAATGGTAAGAAAGAGTTTGTCTGATAAAATCTTTGGTCCCCTTTTTTCCATTAGTTTCAAAAATAATCTAACTGGTCATAAATTTTCGTTTGATGAATTTCTTACCTGCTATTGGCTGCTTGCCAAACTTTTCGAACCACCTTGATTTGTTTTGGAAAAAAATGCTGTTGTATTCAATTCGACCTGAAAATTCTCTTATCACATCAAATTCTTTCTGGAAAAAGTGAATGTTGCAGTTTCCGGTATCATTGCCTCTCCAATCAAGTTCAAATGGGCAAACGTGAAAAAACTTTTTTTGTGCTCCATCGGGGGTTTCCTCGTCGCGGCTTTGGATATTTTTTAATAGTTCTTCTCGGGCCAATCTTGCACATTTAAAAGATATATCTGTGAAAGGGTCGATTTTTATGCCATACTCCGTAAAATATTTTTCTTGTGCCATTTGTGCTGTAGTATTCCATATTGACTTTACAGACGACTCTTTATAGGGTTCGTCATTGCTTTTTTCATGTTAAAGTAATAATCCTCGAGAATTTTTGGTAGTTCCGTACATCTTTCAAGATCTTTCGAAAAAAATACTATAGTTTAGCCGTCAAGAAACAGTGCCTAAATGTTGAATAAAATCGAAAATTATATATTTTATTTTATAGTCCATAATCAAATCCCAAGAGTCCTGCTTTGTACATTATAAAATAAAGACAGTTAATATGTATGTAAATCTCGACCCAATCCGATTTTGCAGATTTATTCTACCGCAAGAATCCCTCAAAGTTGTCGCGGACAGCCCGAACCAGTCTCGACAACGTGTCCGTCAATCCCTGGGGAGGACGGAATAGTCTTTCAGGCGACATCGACGAGCACTCCAGTTTGAGAAGGAGTCGGAGTTTGGCCATCTCCGGAGAGCACTTATACAGTCGAGAGGATTTCTATACAAATCAGCAGGAAGAGGAGCAGTCGAGTGGCAGAAAGAGGTCGCAATTGATACCGAGAGCGAAACTGATTAAGGAACATAACAGGTGAGTGACTTCCAAAAGGATCGGCCTTTAATTGAAGTATTCTTAATAAAACAACAAGGGATATTTCTAAACCTCAAATATACCCGAAATGCCGAAGAAATCGTTGTGAAATATCATTGTGAAAATTATCAAGGAATTGTTCCAAATTAAGGAATTATTATTAAATTGAATATTTTTTAATATTTTAATGATGGTGTTTTACATATAAATAGCCATTCTTAGAAATAATGCAGCCAAATTGTACTTCTCCTATATAGGTAAACATTTTTTCGCATACTTTTTCCCGTGGAATGAATATTAGAAATAGTATAAAAAAATTCACCTTTAAAAAAATCTATATCTAGTAGTCATTATCATCACGTAGCGCTACAACCCTGGGTGGGTCTTGGCTGACTGTACAACTTTTTTCCAATTTGTTCTGTCTTCCATCAACCTAGGGTCAAATGAAATGTTCATTTTCCGAAAATCTGCTTAGATATTATCTCTCCATCGCATTCTGGGGCGTCCGAGTGGTCTTTTGCCTGTGGGAATCTTCTCCCATACCAGTTTTACAAGTCTCTCGTTATGCAGTCTGTGCACGTGCCCTGTCCATCTTAGTCGCTGTGATTTAATTTCTTGGACAATATAGGCATCGTTGTAGAATGCTTTTAATTCGATATTGGTTCTGATCTTATACTGGTTTGTGGTGATGTCATGGTGAGGTCCGAAAATTTTTCATTCAAAGCGTCTGAGCTTATCTTCATTTGCTTTGGTCGTGGTCCACGTTTCGCATCAGTATGTTATTACAGGTCTGACGATGGATTTATAGATTTTGATCTTTGAACTTCTTGTGAGATTTTTTGATTTTATGAGCTTATCCAGTGCGAATATACAGCCTTTTGCAGATTGAATTCTGTCTTGTATTTCTTCAGTAACATCGTTGTCAGCTGTAATTATGGCCCCCAGATACTTAAAACGTTGTACTCTTTCGAAATTGAAGGTGTTGACCGTCACATTTTTTCCTATTCTGTCTCTTCGTGTCGTTCTATTTATACACATATATTTCGTCTTCTTCTTCTTCTTCTGGTAGCACTACAACCCGGGGTGGGTCTTGGCTGACTGCACAACCTGCTTCCATCTCGAACGGTCGTCCATGATGTATAAGTCAGTGGGTAGCCCCATTGTTCTCAAATCTGACCATATATTATCTCTCCATCGCATTCGTGGACGTCCTAAGGGCCTTCTCCCTGTCGGGACTTCTTGCCAGATTAACTTGGTAAGGCGGTTAGGCGGTAATCTCTTGGACTACGTCGCTAGCACTATACATTTGTTTGACCTCGGCGTTTGTTCTCATTCGGTATTGGTTAGTATTCTGATCGTGATAGGGACCGAAGATCTTTCTGAGGATTTTTCTCTCAAAGCATCTGAGTTTACTTTCCATTGCTTTTGTCAGCGTCCACGTCTCACACCCATACACGAGCACTGGTCTAATTACTGTTTTATATATCCTGATTTTTGATGTTCGTGTTAGGCTCTTGGATTTAATAGTGTTGTGGAGGCTATACATACATCTGTTTGCTGCCTGAATTCTCCCTTTTATCTCTTCCGTGATATCGTTATCTGTGGTGATAGTCGCTCCGAGATATTTAAAACTAAAAAAAACACAGAAGTTAAAACACTTCACAATTGTGTATTTTGGTATAAAAACATACAAGTACTTAAAAACTTTTTAAAAATGTCGTCAACATTTAAAATTATGGCAGAACGTTTTCAATCTATACAGATCATCTTCAGTGCCTTTGGTATTTGGTGCTAACAATATGGTGTCTATAAGACTTCCATGTGTTGGTTTAAAAAATATATCACATTTTACATTTAATAATGTTGAGAGTCTAGGTCGATGACAATGGAATTGGTTTTAAATTAAAATTTACTTTAGGGACTACATGTCTCTTAAGCTCGAATACTTGCACGTGGTACTTGTCAGTTGAAACGACGACACAGACCAAATGGCTGATGTCACAGGAGATGATTTAACGACAGCTAAACCTGACAGGATGTCAGTATGTTCCGAAATTAATGTAATTTTTGTTTGTGAAGTTATAAACTTTGTTTAATTGTAGTAATGACTAATATCTTAATTATATAACTTCACAAACACTTAAAACTTCACAAACAAAAATTACATTAATTGAAAACGTTCTGCTATAATTTTAAATGTTGACGACATTTTTAAAAAGTTTTTAAGTACTTGTATGTTTTTATACCAAAATATACAATTGTGAAGTGTTTTAACTTCTGTGTTTTTTTAAACGATGGTATACAGCCAATTACGGGGCTTTTCCCATTAATTTCATATTTAAAACTCTCCACTCTTTCAAAGTTATAGGGGTCTATTGTTACATTTTGTCCTATTCTATCTCGTCTCTTTTGTCTGTTAATGCACATATATTTAGTTTTCTCTTCATTGACCCTTAGACCTTATATTTCGTCTTCTCTTCATTAATCGTCAGCCCTACTTCACTTGTTGCACCTTCCACCTTGTTGAAAATGTCTTTCGTGAATAAGATGGAGTCTCCAACCAGATCTATGTCATCTGCATATGCGAGTAACAGCTTGGGACCTTGAATCGATAGCAATTCTGTTTTTATTTCGGCTGACTTCATGGCTTTCTCTAATACAAGGTTAAAAAATAGTGAAGATAATGCATCACCCTGTTTGAGTCCACTGTTGATTTCAAAGCTGCCAGACAGTTTATTATTTACACGTACTTTAGATATTCCACCCTCCATACAGACTTTAGTCATCCGAATGAGTTGAAGGCGCAACTTCTATTAAAACTTCAGAGTTTTGAGCTATGATTATACAGAAGGATCCTAAAGATACCATGGACAGACAAAGTTACCAATGAAGAAGTACTACAAAGGATGAACACAACCGCGGATTTGGTCCCAGGGAAAAGGGTTCCAGGGCAAAGAAAAATATCCTGGCTTGCTAACCTGACAGCTTGGTATAGAAAAACCTCAACACAATTATTCCGTATGGCAACCAACAAAGTCATTATAGCCAGACTGATCGCCAACGTTCGGAATGGACAGGCACCCTAAGAAGAAGAAAAAGAAGAAGAAGAAGACAACAATGCCAAGACCGCTAATAAATTTAGATTATTTAATGTGATAGTTTAAAATTGATATCCTTTTTGTCCCAAAAACAAAGCATTTGCAGAATGGAAGATAGTGTATTGGCCAAAAGGGTATACGACGCAAGAAGAACAAAAAGCAAAAAGAAATAAAGACCAAGGAAAACATGATCCCAACAAATAAAGTAAATAGACAGTAAAATACTAACCATGAGTATAGGAATTAGCCTCCTATTCAACATGCTTTTTTGAGATGTCCCAAAGAATATAACCAAGAAGGGTAATAATCTGGCTCCACAACCTACGAAAATGGTTTAACTTCTACAGGACTGTTAAAGGAAACACTTAATAAAGTCGGTCACCATATTAGTACCCAACATCCGTTATGTATAGGCACTACAAGAAGAAAAAGAACGTGACCATCCTATTCATTGTTTTGTTCCTAAATTCAGAATATAAGTTGCGAAAATTTCTATTCGTTGTATCCGTACTCTAGTTTAATAAATCCACACTCTCTCCATACCTTCCACCGCCATTTGTATTGCTTATATTTAAATTTTAAATGGCCCCGGTTTGCATTAATTACAAGCGTGGAAAACACTTTTGTTTCCAAGATCACGTATTCCATATTTTAATACATCCCTTTATTTACTTTAACCCGGTTTAACTGAGTCAAAGGATCAATTTCGGCTTCGGTGTAACTTAAACTGCCGAAGCAGATCCGACGGGCTGGAAAAAAAATATAAGCGCTATTCGAGGTTATTTGAAAGTCAGTGAAGTGTGTCGAATCTTTTTTTAATATCGAGATTTGGCGATTTTTCTAAAAGATAAAAGGGTAAAAGGTGTATTTAACAAGTTAGATATAATATACAGTTCGATATTTTCAACTCTAGAGATAATACAGGGATGAATATTCAAGAAATAAACATGGAACTGATATGGTAGCTACGCATTAAACGTTAAATACTCCAGAATACCTGCATTGGTTAGAGGCCAAGAGCAAGTTTCTTGAAAAATATATGTTTTGCTGTAGTAGTTTCAGCAATATATCTAGTTTGCCTTCATTTGATGTTTTTTTACCTGTTACATATCTATTAACTAGCTTCCAAATATTTCGTCGAAAAACTACGGTTTCGAGGTCTAGAGCAAGTAGACAATTTACATTTTTTGCTATTTTTTAATTTCCTTAATGCTTCCTTTACCTCGTTCTTCTCAATGTTCATTTCTTCGTTTGTCTGCACTTCTGATATTGGTGGTTCATTCGTCACCTTTAGCAAAGAGGGATGAGAAGTAGTCTGCCCATGTTTTTCTTCTGTATATGACTCGTTCGTTTATATTAGATCGTTCATCTCTTTTTTTTCCATAATCATTCTCCAAATGCCTCTTCTCTTTGTGTTTCGTAAAAGTCATCCGTCATTCCCAAGTACTAATTTGATCTTGATTTTTCAAGGTTACTTAGTGTTACCCTAGCAAGCATATTTTCTCGGTTTGCGTATGGGAGTGATATTTGACAATTTCTGCGAAGGTTGTAGTTGACCAATAAAAAAAACCAATTCATAAGAGTCTTAGGCCTGCCGTCTTCCTAGTCAATTGGTAAGCAATGCGGTTGCTATTTGGTCCTTGAACCCATATCAAGATGATGTTATTACCATCCAAAGCTTGAGTTAGTGACTCGTGTCATTCAAGGTTAGTAGCACTTGTCTGCTATCTGTGCAGATTATTATAGTTTTCACGTTTAAACCTTTTTGGATTATCTCTTTTGCGGCTATGGAGATACCACCCAGTTCTGTCTGAACTAAGCTGGCATTTTTGCCCATACCCCACTTTATTCTTAGGTTCAGTGATCGTGTTTTGATTTTGTAAGGTTTGTCAAAGACAAACTTTAGTTTGACTGCAGACTGCCTGTAGCAGGAGTAGCACATCCAGCTCTCCCGCCATAAACGATTTATTAATTATCCCATTCCTACATCAAGGTTTACTCCAGCTGAGCGTAGTCGCACCATTGTCACCTGCGCCAACTCTTTGAAATATGTCTAGAGGAGTGATGATAATGGCCAACTCCATTGCAGCAGTTGGTGTTATTTTCATAGCACCTGTTATATTTATGAATGCCTTCCACAGAATATGGTTTAGTACGTTAATCGCTGTTGCCTGTAGCACTTTTGGTACCCAAGCAATAGCTCCGTAAGTTAGCATTGGCGTAATGACAGCAGTGTAGATCCAGGCGGTCACTCTATGCGATAGTCCCCAGGTGTGTCCAAACGTTCGTCGACACTGCTCATAGGCAATATATGCTCTTTTAGCTCTACTATCTAAGTATAAGTTTCATGTTAACTTTCTGTCAAGGATAAAACCTAGGTATTTTACCTCGTCAGAAAAGTTTAGGACCATCTCCGTTTTCTTAGCATTTATATATAGTGACTGTTACTTGAACCATGTTTCTATTAGTCGAACAGCAACTTGTTATCTCTCACATAGCATGTTCTTAAACTTACCGCTTTGCAGGACAGCAATATCGTCTGCATAGGCTATTCTGTAGAACACGTTGTTACTGAGTTGGTCAACCAGGGTGTCTAGAACTATGTCCAAAGGAGTGGTGATAGTACCCCTCCTTGTAGACACCCCCTCGTAACGTGCCTCTAATAGAAACGTCTTCTACATGTATGATTATTGCTCTATTAGAGAGCAGACTAAATATCCATTCGCTCATAGCGAGGCGAACATTCCTAACATTGAGTTGTTGAGTGATGGTTGGGAATATGCTTTGAAACGCTCCCTCAATGTCTGAATGCAGTGTAGAATCGGTTGTTGTCTATGAATGCGGTGTAGAAACTGTTTTGGGTCAAGTGGCTTATGAACCAGAAGTTCATACCTTATGTACTTCTTGCATAGCTTTTCCATCTTTTTTAAGAGAAACAATGTTAGGCTAATTGGTTGGAAAGCCTTTGGTAGGGAATAGTCCATCCTACTTGGTTTTGGTATTAAGACCGCACGTACCTTTCTCCACTTCTTAGGAATATATCTCGGATCTAAAGAGGCTCTGAATATTCCCACAAGCTGCGGCAGAAGGATATCCAGTTCGCACCGTAGTAGGGTCAGGTCCTGTTGGCTTAAAAGGAGTCAAGCACAATATGGCCCATCTTTCCTTTTCCTGATTAATCATTGTTCTGGCGAGATCACAGTCGTTCAGTGAAGGTATGATTCTTTCGCCCAGTTTGTTGCCGTTAAGACGATAGGACCAGGAAAGCGTATTTTCATCCGGATCTCAGCACTTTCGCAAAGGTTGGAAGTTTTTCTTTCATCTTGCTTCGTTAATATACTCACATTACGATGTGGATCCTTTGAGAGCGTTTTTTGTAGTCAGAAAATCTGAGGAATCTTCTTCGATTTTCTCACAGTAGGCTCTCCAAGCCAAGCAGCTCTTTGCTGTGTCTACAGACTTTCTTATTAAAGTCTCTGAGGTTTGATTGATAAGAATCCCAATCCTCTTTGAATTTGTTGCGTTGTGCTCAATTAAAAGATGTTTTTGCTGTTTTCATAAGTTGCTGCAGTTCAGTGCACCACCAAGAGTTGAATTTGCGACTTTCCCGGACCATCCTTCTCGGACAGAATTTTTTATAAGCATAGCTTATGTTGTTGTAGAGTTCTACATCTGTCCTCCTAGGGTCGCGAGATTTGATAAGGCTTCTTTCCCAGACTAATAGTATAGAGTAGCCAGCGGTGGTAAGATAAGTGGTTCTTTTAAAGATAATTCTCAAAAATACGTCTTATCAGTTTTTTCTACGTCCCTAATGACTATATCATTACGATTTTAAAGATAAAACAACCTTTGTAGCAAAATTTATTTATTGTTTATGTGAGTAGTACAATATTTTGCGGTATCAAACATAAGTATTAGAGTATACAATAAACTAGACGAACACACTGGTCAAACTCAGTTTGGTTTTAAGAATGGGTTCGGAACAAGAAAAGCACTTTTTTCAATACGTCTGCTGGTTGAAAGATGTAGAGATGTCGATTCTGATGTATACTTGTGTTTTATAGACTTTCAGAAGGCGTTTGACCTGGTGAAACATGATAAACTAATAGATATTTTAAGGTCATGTAATATCGACGATAAAGACTTATGGATCATTTCAAACCTCTACCAAAAACAAAAGGCTAAAATCAGAATAAAAAGCGAAACATCTGGAAAAATCAATATCGAGAAAGGAGTAAGACAGGAATGTGTCCCATCACCTTTGCTGTTCAATGTTTACTCTGAGAAGATATTTCAGAAAGCTTTGGAAGGCACCTCGGATGGTATAATTATAAACGGGTAATGTATAAATAACCTGCGATATGCTGATGACACTGTCATACTGGCAGATAATGCTAAAGCCCTGCAACGCTTAATGGACCGAGTAACGACAGCCTGTAGAGAATTTGGAATGAAATTGAATACAAAGAAGACAAAACGATGGTCATCAGCAAGCACCAAAACAGAAGGGTGAAGGTCAATGTCGACGGAACAGATCTGGAAAGAGTAACAAGAACAACGTACCTTGGAAGTAATCTTGATGAAACCTGGGACCACTCGCTAGAGATAAGAATACGCCTGGAAAAGGCAGTACAATGTTTTACAAAATGCAAAAAGTTCTATGCAACCGCCAGCTGGGCATCTCATTGAGAACTAGAATACTTAAGTGCTATGTTTTCTCCACCTTGCTCTATGGTGTTGAAGCCTGGACAATGACAGAAGCAACACAAAAAAGAATCCAAGCATTCGAACTCTGGTGTTACCGTAAAATGCTCAGAATATTCTACATAAGCCATACGACAAATGCGGAAGTCTTACGGATGATGAATAAGGAAAGAGAGCTTATCTCTCTTCTACGGCACTACAGCCCAAAATGAGCCTTGGCCTCCTTTATTTTTTGCCTCCACCCTTGTCTGTCTGTGGCTGCTCTTCTCCATACACGGACTCCTAAAAGTGCTTGTGCGTCGCTGCTTACTGTGTCTTCCCAGCGCTTTCTTGGCTTTCCAACTGGTCTCTTTCCTGCATTCTGGCGTTCAGTGCTCGTTTGGTAGCCTATCCTCTCCCATTCGTATCACATGTCCGGCCATTGCAATCTTTGGATTCTAATGAAGTTTGACAGGGGTGTTTCCTTATACAGTTGATAGAGCTCGTTGTTATATCGAATTCTGAAGATTCCGTTTCCCTCACAGGTCCTAGTATTCTCCTCAATACTTTTCTTTCGAATGTGTCGAGTTTGTTTTTGGATGTTTCTTTCAGGACCATGCTTCGCTGCCATAACATGCTATTGGCCGAATTAAAGTTTTATATATTCTCATCTTTGTATTTCGGTGGACACTTTTAGACCGAAATATATGGGAGAGGGCAAAATAAGCTTTGTTTGCCTGCGTTATCCTTTTTCGTATTTCTCCATCCTCTGCTCCATCGGCATATATTTCTACTCCCAGGTATGTAAACTTTCCAACCGTTTCAATGTCATCTTCATGTATAATGTTTTGTGGGATTATATTTCTTCTCGTCTGTACCATTATTTTTGTTTTTTCTGTGTTAATTTCCAGACCTAGCCTTTTCGTTTGTGTTTTTAACTCTGCGTATGCTTCCTGTGCTCCTGTTGATGTTCTACTCATAATATTAATATCAAAGAGAGCTTATACTTATAATAAAAGAACGGAAAACAAATATTTTGGTCACATCATAAAAAATCAGAAGTATGAACTGCTCCAACTTATAATCGAAGGCAAAGTCAATAGCAAAAGAGGACCAGGAAGAAGACGCAACTCCTGGCTTAAAAACCTACGGCAACGGACGAACATGACCTCCATAGAACTATTCAGGGCTGCTACAAATAAGATTAAATGGAAAAATGTAATGGCCAACGTCCTTAAGGATAAGGCACCGTAAGAAGAAGATCAAACATAAAATATGCTTCCCAAATTGTTTAACATTGCAACGTCACTGCATAGCTGTTTCTATTTTTATATTCTGTACAATATTTCGTGACTCTTCTCGCCATCACATTTGAAACCAGCTGCAGCTGTAGATGTAAGTGTACGCCCGTTGGAAATATTTATTAGTTTTACTATCCCCATCTTCTTTTGAAAGAATTTGTATTTATCATGAGGTTTTTCTGTTTCTAGTTACAAACTAAGCAATAATTATTTTATTTTATCGGTAGAATTTTTCTAATTTACTCTTGTTTTACAGGTTCAAAAACCTCAGTGCCGATAATCTCAACAAGCCTCCAGAGAAACCCGAACGCTTACACAGTAGAAGAAATTCGGTCCAAACTCTACAAGAACTACGTCCTCAAGAATCCCTATACTTCGACAGATACCGCCAACAACATAAAAGCGACAATTTTTATGCCTACACATCACTTCAAAACATCCACGAAAACTCCAACCCACACGACAGCTTGGACTCCAACTTTAACAACAAAAGCTCAGCGGAAAATATTTATACCGTCTCATACGAAGATTTGCCCGAGTTAAGTTTGCCCAATTATTACCCGGATGTAAGATACGACACTGATAATACCGACAATATATCCTTGACGGATAATATTTCCTCCCTATCGCTAGATAATATAAGTAAATATAAAGATATCAAATTCGAGAAAAGCGAATATGAAAGTATTTCTTACGACGAAAACATCGTTCTGACCCCAAATAAAAATCTATACGAATCCCAAGAGACTAAGCCCCGGACCATCAGAAACCCCACCCCATACAACGAGAATTACGGTACAGTAAACCCTAAATCAACAAAAAGTTCCGAAGTAGTTACGCAGGACAAGCCAGTCGAAGAAATCGATACCAATTTGGACGAAATAAACTTAAATATAGAAAATATAACAAAAATCGACGATAATATCTCGGACACCCCCAAAGTCGACGTAACTCATTCGGTTCAAGCTTGTGAAGGGGAAATAAAAACTCTCTTGGAAGTCCCAGGAGAGGAGAGCGCCAACGAAAAATATAAAACAGTTGTAACCGTCGACTCGATTGATGATTCTTGTAAGGAAACTAAAACTCACAGTCACAACTACTTAAGAGAATTTTTAGAGACCCAAAAGGGCTCTAGAAAGCCTTTACAAAACTTTATAGCGAAGAAGCTGTCAAACTTGTCGCGAAAAACTTCCAAAACCTCCAATCTTTCCGAAAATCAATTCCACTCTCTACCGGATATAACTATAAGTAAAAATTTGAGGAAGTGCGAGAAAATCGATCGCAAATTGAGAAAGTGCAACAAAAATCAAGCCACCGAGGGCTCAAGAGAAAATAGATTTATCGTAAACATAGGAAGACACTTTGATATAACCGCTAACGATCATACACCTGTTGATTTCGAGGTAAAAATTGCTAAAGTTCCCAAGAAAATAAAAAAGAACTTATCCACTGTTCAGACAGAATCGGAGTTTATAGAGGCTGTAAAACAACTGAAAGACTCCCTAAACGAAAATAATAGCATCAATAGAACTATAGGGACAGACAAAGAAATGGCACTACTTTATTGCCAAGACGAATGCTCCAAAGAATTACAAGAAAAAATAGGAACCATGAAAGACTATTGGAACAAGATGATGGGCAAAGAAAACGACATAGAAGAAAACGAAGTAGATAAATGTAAAGTCGTGGAAATTACAGCGAAAGTAGATGATGTTAGAAAAGTATTTGAACCCAGTAACGACCCAGCACAAGAACAACCGCCCAATAAAGTACAGCTTGCTAAACAAATCTTCGAACCAAAAACACCAGAAGTGAAATCTGGAAAAATATCTCCCAATATCAAGGAATCTTGCAGTTACTTCGAAAACAAAACCAATAACTTTTACAACGACAAGTACCAAAGTCTGTGTCCTAATTCTGTAGAAATTATTCATACCAACAACGATACAACAGACAGTGCTGCTCATAGAACGCTTAGGCAATCACACAGCATCAATGGAAAGCCGGAATTTGACCATGTACGATACAAACTGGTGAAATCAGATCTATTCCAGAAGAAAATATTTGCAAATTGTGAGAAAGAAAGTGAATTCGACGACCTTATCCAATATCTCCAAGATTACAGCTTTCAGGAACTTCTAGTCGACAATAACATTGTGATTATAGAACCTATCAGGTCTAAAGTACCATACGAACCATCTCCATGTGTGAAAAACATGAAGAACGTTACCACTAGTCTTAGAAACCAAGCAACCAACAATGCAGATAATAAATCTAGTATGAATAGAAAATTCTTTTACCATCCAATCAGAGTTAATAAAGAAGTCAATGAAGATGAGTTACCAAGTCCTGATACTGTTAGGCAAGTAAGACAATTGTTTGAAAAAGGTACTCTAAAAACAAACAGCCAGAAAACAAATTCTACCAAAGAAACAGATACTTGCAGCATCGATCCCGATAAGGATAGATGTTCAGCGACCGACACCAACTCACATCCTTCAAACATCTCAGATTTTGGTAGTCAAGAAAATCTGTACGACTCTATAGATAACAAAGAAATATACTGTGAGTATGTCAGCGAAGACATCTTACAAAAAATAAGAGACCGTGGTACTACTGTTACGTACTACGGTGGCAGAGTTGTCGATAAAAAAACTGGACAATCAGTGCTCACAAAATCAATTATGGACGAAATCAAATACAACGAAAAGAGATGCATGGAGTGTCCCAACTGTAAAAAGCACGAAATGGACACGGAAAAAGACGCTTACACTGGAGTAAAGTTCAAGTTGTTAAAATCCAACAGTTGCAGCAGTCGCTTGGAGCTAGTTGGTACTGAGACAAAGAAGAAATTTGCAGCAAACAACAAAAATATAGGTAAAAATGTAACGAATATTACGAATACCGACAAAAATGCTATCAACGAGAGTATAAAGAAACAAACTATGGTCAACAATAGTCAACCTAAGATTATTGGAGAAGAAATGAAAGTACCGGAGAATAAAGTGACTCAATGGAAGGAAATTAGCGAAAAGAACCAAAAGATTTACAATTTTTATGAGTACGATAATACCAAAGAAAAATCACGGAAGATAGAAGATATGGAATTTGAACCATACGAGGTTGCTTAAAATATTTACAATTTGATATGAATGTATTTGTTAATATGTAAGTTGGAATGCATTATTCATCAAATTTTCTATATAAGAACGTTGCTGATAAACTCTTGGACAAAATGAATATGCCACTTTATGAGAATTGTTCGAGCACTACTCTTTTTTTTATTTAGATCTACGTGAATCGGCCACTAATGATTATTGACACTGGAACTAAAATCAATGTTAACAATATTACGGATTGTTAAAATTTTACAATTTTAGGTACCTACTGGTAATATATCTACAAAATTTTTAAATAAATTAAAATAATTTTAAATACATTATATTAGTCTTTCAAAAACTAATTAGAGAGTTCATTAAATCAAGTGAATTAAATATATCACTAGGGGTGCTACTAATATTATGCTGTTGTCGGATGGAACTTTAACAGGATTTTAAGTAGGATTTTAGGATTTTAAGTAGGACATGCTGAATGGAAAGTCGTGTGTTACGAAAGGTAACCATGTGTGAGTCGAGTGTGACCTATTCCTATTCTTCTGATTATCCTTTGCCTCCTCTTTTTTTGTACAGAGATATTATTATGATTGTACTTTTGGTTGTATTTTGTGTAATTTGGATGTGCTTTTACTCCATTGATCTTGCCAATTTTCCAATGCCGATTGTTTAAAGAGATAGTTGAGGTGTTTATCAATCATCAATCAGCCAATCGCGTCCACTGCTGGACATAGGTCTCCCTCAGTTCTTTCCAGTGTTCTCTACACTGGGCCGCTTGTAGCCAGTTTCCCGCTACACGTTTTATATCATCGGTCCATCTAGTCGGTGGTCGTCCTCGGCTTCTTTTATAGTTTCTGGGCCTCCATTCCACAATACGTCTTGTCCACCGTCCATCTTGTGCTCTGGCTAAGTGCCCTGCCCAGTTCCACTTAAGCGACGTGGTTCTTTCGATGACTCTTGAACTCCTGATCTTTGCCTAATTTGTTGGTTTGTTATGTGGTCTCGAAGGCTCACGTTCAGCATTACACGTTCCATGGCTCGTTGTGTAACTCTGAGTTTATTCGTAGATTTTTGCGTGAGTGTTAAAGTCTCTGCACCATAAGTTTGTACAGGTAAAACACATTGATTATAAACCTTTCGCTCGAGACCCATGGGAATTGAACTTTTTAGAATATGGCTTAATTTGCCAAAAAATGCTGCCCAAGTTAGGCCTATTCGCCTCTGTATTTCATGTGTTTGATTGTCTGCTTATTTTGATTTCGTGTCCCAGATATTTGTAAGTGTCTGTTTGTTGTATGGTATTATTATCAATAGTTATATTTCCACTCATTACGAGATTTGTTATAAGTTTAGTTTTCTCAAAGTTTATCTTTAATCCTGCTCTTTCAGACAGACTTTTAAGCGAATGCATCATAGAAACTGTATCTTGTAAATTATCTGCGATTAATACAACATCATCTGCAAATCTTAGGTGATTTAATCTTTCTCCATCTATATTGATGCCCATATCTTGCCATTGAGTGCTCTTAAATATTGACTCTGGAGCTGCCGTGAACAATTTTGGTGAAATGTTATCTCCTTGTCTAACTCCTCGACCTAAGCTGAATTTTTCTGTGTCTTCATGTAGTTGTATACTTGATGTAGCGTCCTCGTAGATGTTTTTGATTAGTGTTGTGTACCTGTAATCTATTCGGCTTTGATTTAGGGCTTCCAGTATTGTTTCAAACTCTACAGAATCAAAAGCCGTCTCGTAATCGACAAATGCAAGAACCAGTGGTATGTTGTACTCGATGCACTTTTCTTTTATATATATATATATATATATATATATATATATATATATATATATATATGCGAAGATCTTTATGGTATGCAAATGGTCATTTGTGCCACATCCTGCTGAAGCCTGCCTGTTCTTTAGGCTGATAGAAATCAAGTTTAGGTGTTAGCCTCTTTGTTAAGAATTTCATAAAGAGTTTGTACATATGTGTCAAGAGGCTGATGGGTCTATAATTTTCTAATTTAGTAATATCGCCTTTTTTGTGTAACAAGACTATTACTGCATTGTTCCAGTCTTTTGGAATCGTACGCGCATGTAAGCATTTATTAAACAGTTCGCTTACTGATTTTAATAAAATTTCTCTTCCTGCTTTTATTGCCTCGATAACGAGTCCATCATCACCAAGCGATCGATGGTTCTTCATTTCCTTTAAAGCTGCTCTTACTTCTAACACAGTAATGGGTAAAAGTATTTCCGATCCCTGATTTATGAGGGTCTTAACTCGTGTCGGGAAATTGTCTTATGGTCTTTGGCTGGTATAGAGGTCTTTATAAAACTCTCTGGTTATCTTCTGAATTTTTTGTTGAGGTCTTGATGGTGCTGTATTCTTTCGACTGGAAAATTGGGACAGTTAGCTTTTTTCGCTGCTTGGTCCACTTTTTTATTACCAGTGACACCTACATGTAAAAGGACCCAAATTATGGGGACTGAAGTGCCTAAAGTTAATAGCTAATGACAGTGATTCTGTACCTCATTGTTGTAAGCTTAATGTTCTGAGTGAGTGAATTGTTAACAGTGAGTCGGTGCATATGGCTATGCGTATGCTGCATTTTGGTGTGACTTTCAGAGCTTTATGCATTCCATATAATTCCGCTGTATGTATACTACAGATTGTAGGAAGTCGAAATAATGCTATTGTTTGCTCTGTTATAGTAACTGCTTGTATCATATTCATTCTTACTGGCATCAGCGTGGAATATTGTGTCAAACTTTTCCATATCTATCATTTTATTGAATTCTTGTCGAAGTAAAAGTGTGGAGTTTCCTTTTTGTCACAGTTACATAGACTAGTGTTAAAAGTAGGCAGTTTTCTGGTCCAAGGCGAGGTATGAGAGATATAAATAGGGGTTATGTTTGGGAACGCTATATTTTTAATTAACTGGTGTAATTGTCGATCAATTGGGCATATCGACGTAGGTTTTTCTATGGTTAGTTTGAGGGGTTTGCAGAGACGTTTGCAAAGTAATTCAAAAGGAGTCTTTGACTCCTAATGTTCAGGGGAGGTTCGTAGGCTTCGACATGAAGGCTTTTAGATTGGCTAGGTCTAAAGGCACAGGTAGAAATTCAAAGAGATGTGTTTTGGATGACGTTAAGAGAATTTTGGAGAGAGTCGCAGGTGGCCATATAGAGTATGCTTCCATAATCCTACTCTTGCTGACCAATTATTAATACTCTCTAGGATGTTTTGAAGTAAGGTACATAGGCTAGTTGTGCTCCTACCTTGACACAATAGTAAGCGTAAATAGCGTGCTGGACTTGTGCTTTTATCATAGAGTATCATAGTGTGGTGCTAAGGATAGAAACTTGTGGGAGCCCATTCTCTACAGCTTGTGGTGCAGCCATTTATGGACACCTGAAACGTTCTATCCGTTAAAGAGTTATTAATAAAAGTCGATATGTTACCTTCTAATTTGAGGTTAATGAGTTTTGTCAGAATTACTGATTTTGAAGTATTATCGAAAGCACTTTATATCTCTAAAGCAATGGCTATTATCTCATTCTTGTTTTCGATGACATTTCCAAGAATTGATGGTGTACTTTCCAATGTATTATTCTGCTACTTGTAGTATACATTTACTAAATTGTTCAACTATAATAGTTCCCAATAATAATACCTTCAATAGTTCTCAAGTAGCTTTTAAAATATTCCATTTGCTCTTAGTAAAAGATGGTTTAACTTCATCATTGGTGATAAAGAAAGGGAAGTGATTACTGTCATAGAGACTATGGAACGTGTACCAGGTTAGAAGAGGAGCTGTTTTAGGATCACTAATGCTTAGGTCGATTGAAGAAAAGGAACCAAACTGGGTATGAAAATACGTGCTACTTCCTGTATTTAAAAGGTTAACACCATAACTAATGATAATATCCTCAATCATTTTACCTTTGCCAAACGTATTTTTAGATTCCATATGTATTATGGGCGTTAAAATCTCCAACAAGTATGAATGGAGCTGTGAGTTGGATAATGAGATTTGAAACCTCAGCGCTGGCGAGATTATATTTAGGAGAAATATTAATATTGCATATATGACTTTTTGTTGGGATACCATGCAGTTATGGCTACAGCTTCTAGGGTTGAGTTTAATGAAAATTTTTAGTGAAAAACGTCATTTGAAATAAAAATGGAGGATCCACCACTTGCTTTTAAATGTGTTGTCCTAATAAAATGATAGCTAGAGTAGTTTTTCCGATATGGTTTATGTGTTGCATTAAAATTGGTTTCATGTAAGCAGAGAAAGTCAGGGCAGTAGTCTGAGATTAATGGTTGTAGATTCTAGGCGGGGAAAAAATCCGTCACAATTCCACTGAATTAATATAAATATTTCTACTGGTTAGTGTAATCACTTTTGAAATTACTGAGATAATTGAGATACGTCAGAGTTACTGTCTTTGTCACTTACATCATGAGATATATCAATGCTAGATACACTTTCGGCTACATCAGGTTCCACATGGAGTTTAATTTTTTTATTTATATGTGTTATGCAATATCTAATTGACTTTGTTAGAGAGATCGGTACAAAAATTGTAAATTTGAGAGCAAAGATTTAATATCGTTCAGTATGATCAGTATATGGATCGTTATTTCCGAAGGTGTTATCAAGGAAAGATATTAGGTTATCTTGTGGAAGTACGAATGCATCTGGTATTTGATTGTAGGTCTCTTTTATATCCTTTTTAGTTTGTTCAGTTGGACCGATTTCTATTGACGGGTTTGTCCTACGTTTCTTCCTTTTTTCTTTGCATTTTTATCAAGCTGTATGAGACTGGCAGGTGAAATGAGTGGAGGCATGTTATTTCGTTCAGTGTCTGTTAGCTATGTGTTATCTAGAAGAAGGGTTGTGTTCATGGATAATTCTGTTTTGATTTTGGAATTTCAGTTAAATTAGTGGTTGGAATATTAGTGCAATTCAAGGCGATATATCTTAATTGTTTACATATAAAGCATTTTATCTGTTGAAAAAATTCTATTTTCACCTTCAAAAGATATTACAATTGAAGTTTGTAATTCAAAATTCTCTGTTTGTTTGTAATTCAAAAAGAATGTGGGAATACTCATCTCCTGTGATACTCACTCTGATCACGAAAATCAGAGGTAACCCCTTAAAAAGCACTTTCTACCAAATGAAGACAATCTCGCCAAGTTTATCGATGTTT